AGCTAAGTAAATGGCTTGATAAACAGAACGAAGAGAGGCACACCCAGACGAGAAGACAAAGTAAGCGGCAGAAAGGGAAGGAAAGAGATGAAGAAAGCGTCACAGAGCGAAACACCTTAGTATTAAATGAATTACAATGCAAACAATTCAACAGCTCATCCAATGAAGTACTACGAAACAAACTGAACAGCAACAGCAACAAATAATGATAGCAAACATCGATGAGACCAACAAATAATATAACAATAGCACGATCAAAATAACAGTAACCATAGCAATAATATTAACAAGAACATAATTATTTGCTTACTGGGGTCCTCGGCAATCTGACAAGAACGGCCTTAACGACGCCGCGGACTTGCGAAAAATCTCCGTGGCATTTTGTTATCACTTCGCGAGGCGCTGAAGTAAAACACCATAATAATACTAATAGCAAGAAACTAACAGAGAGAAAAAAGAACAATAAACACAAGTCGATAAATAACAAGTACATGTCATAAGAGAGGCTAATGAACTTGACAACATATTGAAGACACACAAGATAAAATAACAAGACAAGACGAAATACTAGTACAAAAGCACTGCATAAAAACAGGGACCAAAAAAGGTTTAGACATCAACCCGATAGACAACGGCCACATCACAGAGACGACAATAGTAAGTCGAAATGATGGTAGGGACAAAAAGGCGCAAGTCCTATGTCTCCTATGCGCTGCTCTCCGCGAGAGAACCAATAAAACGTAAAGAAACACGGAGGCATCTAAAGACAAATAAAGACAAAAAAGATTAACTTTCAAGCCTGGGTACTTCAAACGCCGCCCTCACAAGATGCGCGAGTGGGAGGAAAAACGAGAAAACAACAAAGCAAACCACCACGACAAAAAAGCCGAAGGAGGAGAAAAAAAAGAAAACAAGGAGACAACTAGCACATACAGAAAAAATCACGACACACCAAGACAAAGCAAGACAACCATATACAAAGAAAAACAAGACGACTTACTGTCAAGCCTGGACCCTTCAAGCATCACCATCACAAGATGAGCGACGCACAGTCTATCGTGATGCAGATGCCAGGCCAACGTGTCCATCGTCTCAACCATCAACTGCGCGTCGA